ATCGTTAAACATTTTCTTCTATTTGATAAAACTTGCCTATTTTGCAGCAGGTGTAAGCCTCCTTCTCATATTACACCCGCAAATGTGTGCGCAGCTGAAAATGAGCACGCACTCACATCCGCTACCAGCCACTCGATTGGCTGACATGTGTAGCGAAACCGCGCAGCTCTGGAGTAGCACGATATTGACCCACACACCAATCGTCAGAAGCACATTCACACACTCAGGCAAACAGACAGTTTCATGACTGGCACTATGTGACGAAGAGGCCTTTTTAAACACGCGTGGCACCGTCATTTTACTACCCTACATGATGCATTCCCATTTTCCTCATCTAGGTAAGTGTTCAATTAATTTTGGTCGAGCTTTACAAAATGCAATTATTGTCCCGGTCGGAGCCTTTCAAGAAGACCTAGTAAACAACTAGAACCATCACCAGAATCTAATTTATGCCATGATTAAGGGTTGCATTTTAAAACATCATTTTAAACTATTCATCGCATTGTCCGTTTATAAAGTAGACACTTCGGTCGTGGCCCATGGGAAGTTAGAATCCGTCCAACACTTTACAAACAGCATTAGGCATTTTTCTCAAGAAGGCATTTGAAACAATAATTTAATTTCGGAAATGGATGGCATATTACCTCCAAAACACTAATCTTATTGTAGTTAGGGCACCTTTTAACAATGCTAAACCTACGGTCAAATGCTTTTAATATTAAAACTTCGATAAGCGAAAGCATTTTCGCATAGGGAGGACCCTACTGGGCATCTCTTTCAGCAAACACAATCAACGTTGGATGGAGATGATAGAATATGTATTAAAGATCAAAACATCCAGTGTCAGGAGCACAAGTTTATTCAAGGGGAAAAAAGGACTTTTGCAAATTTAAAATCCTTACGTCACACCTGGGTTTTGCTCCCCTAATAATGAGCACACAGATGCACACCATCTTGCTTCATCCACTTGGATTTTCATTGGAGGACTCATGCTGCCTTAAACAAACGTAAATTGGAACTTTAAGATTTACGAATATCGCCTCGTGACCCATCAGGTACAGTATCCTATCGGCCACATACTGCAAAACGATTGCTTAACTCATTCATCAGTGCGATCTAAAAAAAAGATATAACTAGACTTAAACCCATATCAAAGTAGTTATTCTTCTATAGCCCCAAAACGATTGCTTAGCTTGTTAAAATATGGCTATTTCATATTTTGAAATGAATATTTAATTGTGATTTTCTTCACGCATCCATTCAGTAGTTATTGTTAGCTTTAATCACGAATCGTAAAATTACCAAAAAATATGAATTTAGCCCCGATTGCAAAGTAGTGTATTTGAAAAACGCAGATATTCTGCGGCAGTCAAATGTCACCTTTCACCAAATATTGTACAGTTATCAAATTTTTGAGTAATTTTGACTAAAGTAGATAAAAAACTTAATGTTCGTGTCATTTTAAGAAATATTTATCCAAAAACGCAATATTGTCGATTAAATGTAGAATAACGTGGCCAAAACAAGGAAAATAAATATGGCCGGTGATTCCAGAATACTATACGTACACTTCACTTAGTATGCAGGAAAAGGTTAGCAAATTGAGCTGGCTTTTTGGAAAGGGAAATTCCCAACTGCTAATGACAACTTGCCCTTTTTCATGAGACATAGAGGTATGTTTTGAGTCCTAAAATTTATTTTCCCAGAAATACTGCCTTACCGTTGTAACTTGCATTATTATTGCTAGTGTATTGCATGGTTTTGAATCAATGCCATTTTAATAGCTTTGCAACCGGGATGATAATGACCTGAAGGTTTAAGGTGTATATTAATGCCTGGTGATTTGTGTTCAAAAAATACTGTCGTTTAGTAACGATGGCCTCTCCAACTTGGCAAAACTTTAATTTCGTGACCTACTACTAGGATTAGAAATTGCATTAATAACTAAATTTTAACATGATTAATTAACCAATTCTAATAGTACTATTCAGATGGCGTTTGATTTTTGTTCCAGCGAAGTGTAGCGGGTGCTCCATTAGTATGAAGGAAAATTATGCAAGCTTACTTAAATGAACGGGATGTCACTAAATAAATTAAAAAAACGGGGAATAAAATATCCACATATAATATCATGTCTAGAAAGCGTTTAGCGAAAATCAAGGCGTGCTTGAAGCTTTTTATTTACAAATCGAAACAGAATGACTGAATTCGACTTCGAGTGAACTGACAAACTGACCAGTCTACCTCCAAAAAATGGATAACATTTTAAAGCTTTTGGAATAAGAGTGCTGACGTTTGACTCAAACGATTTGACATGTACCATGCATTGCATAACAGAAGCGAAGTATAAAATACACCCCCTTTTTTTACTAAACGTGCCACCTATATGGATTAAAAGCTGAATGAAAAACAAGGTTGGTAGCTGCCAAGTGATGGGTAACTTTGATGTAGTCACAGTTATCCTTTAAGTCGTAACTTTTAACTATATTTTCAATTTTAAATAATAGTTAGCCGCTTAAGTATCAGCTACATCGGAATATCCAAAAATATGCAGGGAATAGTGGGAATAGTGAGAGGTCATAGGAAACACTATGGTTAGGTCACAACCCGCATTGAATTGAATTATGCTGTCGCCGAGTGCGTATGAAAGATAAATGCTTGCAGTAAGGAAACATGTCTTTCATGGAGGCGAAGGTAGCGCGAAGCATTACGGTTTGAGTGTGCACGAAATATTTTTGATGTTACTAGATATGGGTATAAACTATTATTAGTAATAATAGGTTGTATTTCTTTTAAATCACTAATCGTAAGAACTAGTTATTATACGCTACCACTTCAGATAAATCACGTTCTAGTCATTGAAAATTTCACACTACTACCTTAATGCTTCGTGACAAGATGGCGTGTAAGGCCAACACACCACATCCAAGAGCTGCTCAAATGCACCATTGAATATTTGGAATAAATTATCATCGGTCTTCTCACTTTAAGGAATACTACCCTTCGTGCTATTGGTATGCCTGAACTTCACATGTTTGGGATCTCTTCGACTAAGTAGACGGTCAGGAGGCCATGAGAGAGAGTACGAGGCACCTGAGATCAGCATACGCTCTGTCTCACCGCACTGGCTCAACATTCAATGCACCATTCCCAAGAGCTCTTCCGAGTTCAAGGTCTTTGTCACCTGTCCCGCCCTTCCATCTCCCTGCTACGAGAATTGCCTCCCCACCCAATCCTGCTCGGAGTTCAGCTCTGTGAACGCAGAATGCTTGCCTGACAGAACCGCAGTCAACTGCACAGAACTGGTGAATTCAGATGGAAGCAAGTTGACGAGCCTCTGGATCGATAAACGCAGCCCACGGCTTCACGGCTCTTGGGTTTGCACAAGCCTTGGCGTGAAGAGTACTGTTGCCAATGTAGGAGTATTACTTTTTGTGCAGTCTTACATCAATTTGGCTCACGCATTTGTAGCCGCTCATAGTGCAAGCTTTATAATTTTTTAAGCACCCATGATGTGGTAAAATCACTTGCCAATTACTAGCTAGGATTATGAACTCATGAGAAAAGTGGTCTATATTTGCTTCATCGTCTATTGAAATAAGCATATCCAAATAGACCTCTGTAGTGGGCATACTCATGTGGATAAGATTACTGCCCTAAATAAATATTGGAGCTGTGTTCAGATTCCAAGCGAATGGAATCGTACTAAAATCATTCTCCATTTGGAAGCACATACGCTGAAAAAGAAAGCAACAAACAATGGAATCCCCGGAAGTTGAAGAAAGACTTTAACCGGTCCATCAGCTAAGTGGTTCACGCTTCACACTAGATTCCTCCTTTCCAATTCAGGTAGTACCGGAACTGGAAGAAACACCAGTCGTTCCTCCAGTTCTGGAGGTGCTGGAAGAGTCACCGTCCCTTGGCAATGCTAAGACTGTGCAACCGGATAATTTGAAGAACACAGTCGGGCAGATGGAGGAGAATGGAAAACCTCCATTTTATCCTATTACATGTAAGTATTTACTGCGTATCCATATGAAACATCAAGTTGTGCGATATTACCGTGTAAAACGATTTTAAAAAAGCAGAGTTAAAATAACCGTACAATTTCTCAAAATTCATCTTTCTACTTACAGACGAAGATTGAGTATGCAATCGGTGGCACTAATTGTAGCATGATCTGGCAACTAAACATATGTTTAAGTCCGCTGAAATAAATTTACTGCCCTGGAACAGAAAAAATATTTCTCAATTTTGCATTGGAAGGTTCTTTAAGGTTGCGTCCTTGACAACTCTTGTACTCAAATCCAAAAAATTATTATTTTGTAGCACATCTTTCACGAACTCCCTGGATATTTTGCCTGATTGCAATTTTCATTATCTCCGTTACGGTGAACATTATTTTGTGGTGTAGATGGTGCCTCGTATGCTTCTTTACGGGTAAAGTTCATACATTCTTATTATTTTTGAAATTACTGTGGTGAAAAATAGTTGGTTGTAAGTAAACAAGCTTAGGTATTCGACGCTTGCTTATCTGCCATTTGCAAAACTAGACACTAAAGTTACCTAATTACCATTAGAAAACCTCCACTTAAATAAATGACATTTAACTAAATAGGTATCTAGTCAATAAAACGCCCTACTGAATAATGGAATTTTGAGATCATGGGTTTACAAAAACATTTTTAGAATTTTGGAAGTAGAAAATGTGCATTGTGATGATAATATACTTTTCTAAAGTGACTATAAACCCACTAAATATTAGAAATTCCTATAACACTGATATTGATTTACTTAGCTCTTTACAATGGGTTTTTTCCATCAATTCCATAGCGCGTCGAAGAAAGTATAATGAGGACCAAAAAACTCTCGGCGATATGATATGTCTTCCCACGCAAATGAGTCGAACTCAGTCAGGGCTCTGGGAGAACGACGTCTTTTCCAGTCCTCTCATCGATGACCCGGGGGAGCCCTGCTACCTCAAGGAAAACTTAAGCAAATTTCAACGTTTTGGAACGTTTGGTCCGAGCAACTTTGCATACGAACAGTCTCAGCTACAAAATCAGACTGACCTCACCGAAATGGCATTTCCCGATTATTTCAATACACTGCAGCCTTGCCAGCTGTGGAGGACCCGGAGTGCTGTCGCAACATTTTCGCCCGGAAATCTCTCTCTCACCGGTGGCCATTCTCAAAGCGATACAGGCTCTCTCAACCAGGTGACTTCCCAAAGCAATTTTCCACCACCTCCACCACCGCCGCCACTTCCACCTAATCAATCACTGCATGGAACAAAGGAACCAAAACAACCTCTGCGAATTAGCACGAATCCGGCTCTTGGAATCGCCACAGTTTACGACGACGTGGCTAGTAGCTCTACAATAGCAGTGGTTTCAAAAGATGCAAAAAAACCAAGTATGCAGTTGGAACCGCACTTGCCCAGCTTGGTAGAGCTTGATAAGCCGGAGAAACCATCAAATGCAGATGCATATCAAACCTAAGACCAAGAGATTATGGAGGCATTGGTGTTTCAGGTTAAAACACAAGTGCACGTCACAAGTAAATAATCCGTGTATTCTTTGATATGCAGTTGGGTGTATTGTCAATTTTTTGGATGTCAAATATAAAATTAATATAGCGAATAACACATTATGTAGGTGTTTATTTGTTTCAAAGCAAGAGTTTGGCAGCAGTTTTGGTGCGACCGAGTGGATAGATCAGTCGAACATTATATATATTTGTAATACGATAGTGGTTTATCCCTCGGTTCTTGTGAGGCGCCACTTTTGTACTTCGAATTAGCCCCCTTGTACCTCGCCGGGTGGGCTGGCCTTTTGGGCCATGCCAATAGCCCAGACACCTTCTCCGTGCTGAATATATATATTCTGCCCGAGTATTGTGTCTTCTGTCGTCTTAAGGGAGTCTCGGGACGCTACATTGGTGGCAGCGGAAGGCGAACTCGATCTTAGAGGACATGTATCCTGATTTTCCACTTCTGCGTGACAAGCCTTAGTGGTGCGGAAGAAGTACATACGCTACGGATGGGAGAATGGTGATGACCCCTAATAGAAGGGTTGATGTTGACGTCTACCTTCGGCATCTCTCCCAGTCCCGTGTTCTGCAGAAAAGCTATTAACAACTGAAGCGACACTAGCCGACGCAGTTCCCCGTTGACGTTGAGGTCAAGTATCCCCTCAGTTGCGCACTAATTTGGTGACTGGCACGGTCGACTCGTGGGTGTTTCTTTACTGCACCGACTACGTTGTAATGGCTGACGCGGGAGGTTGACCTGTGGGAGCGCCGGGGACGACGCTCAAAAGAGGAGGGAGGCTATGTAATACGATATTGGTTTATCCCTCGGTTTTGGTGAGGCGCCACTTTTGTACTTCGAATTAGCCCCCTTGTACCTCGCCGGGTGGGCTGGCCTTTTGGGCCATGCCAATAGCCCAGACACCTTCTCCGTGCTGAATTTATATATATTCTGCCCGAGTATTTTGTCTTCTTTCGTCTTCAGGGAGTCTCGGGACGCTACATATTCATTCACAAAGTGGTGCACGGAAGACACAATAGGGAATATATGTAGGGCTTTTCAAATTGTTTAACGCATACACAACCAAAAATTCGTAAATTATTTTTTGCTAAAGGCTGCAATTGTCATCGCATTCCTTAAAGTCACGATTGTAGTTTATTTTCCTTGAATTTTGTGAAATAATATTTAGTAAATGGCAAAGTGACTGTAATGTAAATCAATGTGTAGAAAAATTAGATTTTTTGCTTTTTATATGAACACAAGCTAATTATAAAGAACCAATGTGCATAAATAGTTAGTATGCAAATTGCCTTGTTTAGTCGTGCTACCTTTTCTTTGCTTAAATCCGGGTGCGCTATATGCGTGGAGGCTTTTTGCAGTATTTGGACTCAAATGGATCTTCCTACGGAAAGTGGACTCAAGGTTCCGCTCGTCTATTTTATCCTTTCAGCCACCTTTTTAGATCGTTGCACGAATATTAGCTCGCGAAAATCCCAGTATATTCGAAGCCTTGTTTGCGGATCCAGTTGGATCAAAGTTTGGCCCTGATATTGCTGATTTCGCCTTTTATAAAAATGCGTTCTCGCTGAAACAGAATGTCTTATTTGATACAATTTTAGTTCATATTTTTCCATCTTATGTTGATGGTAAAAAAACGGGGGGGCTGGAGGGCAAATGCATTTTCATCGATACGGATTCCTCCTTCCCCCTCTTGGCATTCGTCTCATTCATTGAAAATTTCTTGTCTACGCGCTACCCATCGACTCCCCATTCGAATATGGTCGACGAAGTACACGAATACCTGGCTCTCATCTCCTAGATTTTGAGTCGATTGTATGTGGTGAACGCGCGCACCACCGTCGAATGCATCCTCGCCTTGCTGACCCTACGCGATATAATAAAGTTCGACAGGAAATACCTATTGGTTGTCGGTTCCATATCTGCTCGTTTTGGACTGTTTCCAAAAAAAGAGATCGCAATAGCCGAGCTGTTGTTCTTTGATTTTCTGAAGTACATTGTCGACACTTTCCACATCCAGTGCATATGTATCCGCATGCTTCCCTCGACCAAGGTGGATTTTCTTTCTCGTTAAATTGCTTATTTTTAGGACGTGAGGCACAGCACAGTACCTCTCTACTATCGTCCAACCCAGCGCGTTGTGTTTCGAGGCACAGATTCCCAAAGCCAGCCAGTGAAAGTTGAAATAACTGAAGGAGACAGACCCGCATTCATTTCTATCTTTAAAAATTTTTCCAGAGTGCAACTACCCACATAAAAACTACATTATTGTTTATTCATTTTTGTATGGCAAGGGGCCATATACGCATGCTCAATATTTCAACAACATTAATTTACGTAGTCAGACAGACCTCGCAAGTGTTCTGTGCCGAGATTTTGCAATATTGAAAAATATCATTTGCATGGACGCGATGTGCTGATAGTTGTAAGTAAGGATGCGGTGTTGCCATAGTAAAGAGTAAAAAAATAAAGATCGCCAACATTGGTGAATCAGAGCGGTCCATTGGCGGAGTATGGGCTTGCCTCCGAGCCTATGGTATCACCAGTCTGAAATACACTCCGATGGCGTCCGCCGACGTCGTCCTCGGTTCGGCGCTGACCGGTAAGGAAAGTTGTTGCTTGCTCGCTGGTGTCCATTGCCACTGGCCCAGCAGACGTAGGCGGCATTATGTTGCCAGGCTGCCTGTGGAAGTCACTACGTAGAAGTTCCATAAGAAGGGAGTTTGCGGAAAGATAGGGTGAAAGGTCCTTATCTACGAGGAGCTCGCGAGCCATCGCGCTAGTTCTTTGTAGTTCAGGTATCCTCACGAAAAGCTCGGTAAATTTGTTGGGAACATCGGCGCATGATGTCGAGTTGTAGTCCATCAGCAGCTGGCTTACGCATTCCTGGAATTGCTTGACCTGGCGCACCGCTTTGAGATTGGCGAGGTCTCCTTGCATTAGAAGGAACACTTTTAGACACGCGAAATCGATGAGTCCAAAGCGAAGACGTTTAAGGTCCTGGGTCAGACGAAGTAAACTGTCCACGAGACCCTCGGCGCCCATCTCACGGGCGGCGTCGAGGTTGATGCACTTCGTCGAGGTTAGCCGAATCTCCTATTAAATAAGCAGGTGGGTGGTGAGTTTGGGACTGCCTCGGCTGCATGCGCATCAGTCCAATCAAATGTACCATGCAACCGCTAAGTACGTACAGAGACCACTCAGGCGAAATGTTGCAGACACTGAACAAGTGCGACAAATTGCATAGTAATTAACTAACATGTCGAAACTGAAGGAGGGAAGCCATCACGGCATCGTCTTTGAGTCCTGATTGAGAATAACGCGAATGCGAAAGACCACCTAAATGAGATTTTTCTAGAAGTCGCACTCATTTTGGATAAAAGGCCGCCGCATCCCCCGAGCATTTGGCATACGCTATGCCTTCAAGATGTCAAGTATTGGATGCCTCGTTACACTCACCACATCTTACGAGATCGATTTTGAATGTTACCACCAAGATGGTGTAAGGTGGTCGAGAGGTCGAAATGTATTTAGGGTTTGCATCAACGTTGAAATTTTAAATAAAAAGCCCAAAAGACAAGAAACCCACCGTTGGTGTTGGAAGTGACTTCCAACAACAGTCTAAGCAAAGAAGATCCGCCCAACAATTTTGAAGAAGCAATATCTGATCATCTGTATCGAGGTTACTGAAGACTGGAAGTGCCCGGGACCATCGAACAATCCGATATAGACGCTGATCGGCCAGATTGAGCAGAGCTCGATAAACAGCTGCTTCCTCCTCCGTTACGTTGGGAGGTAATGCGCCGACACCGATTTGAGAGGCATCAGTGCTCTCAAAATCCAGCCGTTCCTCTGGCTCAGATTCCACTGATTCTTCAACTTTGATAATCTCACGAAGTATCTAAAGGCCATAGAGATAAATATATCTGATACCAAAATACATGGTGAATGAAAATGAGATGGGTATGAATTATATTACATTTTGGCTTGTCGTTTCCACTATGGTCAGTCCCGGAATTTGGCCCGGTACACAAATAACGTGATTATCAGTAGAGTAAGCCCATGACAATGTTGAAAATGCGGGTACATCGTATAGGGAATAATTAAAGGTGAGAAATTGGACAAACTGCGAATCGGAGTATGACACGTGAATTCACTTGGTTTGCGCCAAAAAGTTTGCTGTTTATCGTACACCTCACCTTGGGCATATCGATATTTTCTTGGGTTCGTACCGGGAGTCTATAGACTGATTCATCGTGGAAGGTAGAGGACGAGGCCGGACCGCTGCCTCCAGTATCCTCCAACACTGCCGGGTCTAAGTAAACCCCACCACCAACATCCTCAGAGGCGGGTATTTCGTAGGCCACGCCGCTACTGACACCAAGGGACATTATGTGCACGCCATCAATTTTCGAGAACGGCTCGTTCGCAACACTTGAGGTGGTACTAACAACGGCGGCGTTAGGAAGAGGTGCAATAGCGGGGAGAGTCGAGACTCCACCTGCAGAGGTTCCTTTCAATTCACATTTCACCTCGCCTCCTCCGGAGGCACGCGCAGCTAGCTGGCGCAGATAGCGCGACCCCGGATACATACTGCGACCGCCACGAGTTCTGTCCGAGCGAATTGCTACAAAATGGTAACATTTGGGTGGGTACTGTCGCGCCCGATCCGCTCCATCTAATGAAAACCAATCTTAATATTTCGATTTTGATTGTCCATAGGAGGAATTACACACCTTCCATCCGCATCCCTTTCTCAAGGCACTTGACGAAGCGGCAGGCAGGGCATTTCTTGCGCGAGGTGGCCGTAATATCACAAAGGGAGGTCGGTGTAGCCATGTGACAGGCATAACGTTTCGAGTTCTGCACGGTGCGCTTGAAGAAACCCTTGCATGACTCGCAGCAAAAGATACCGTAATGATAACCCGATATCTTGTCCCCGCAAATTGGGCAAGGGCCTAACTTCTCAAATTGCTTAACGTATTGCTGCCACGAAGACTCCTTCTAAAGTGACAAGAATTAACATGGAAGTGGATTTGAATAGTGTTAGAGATAGACCCTCTGACAGAGGTTTATATCAAAACATACCCGATCTAGAAGGGTGATTACGCAAAAAAAACAATGCAACAAGGTAACTCCAAACCAAAAAAAACTAGCCTCCAGATCTTCTAGTCCACAGAAAAACAAGAGATGTGAGCCTTTTCCATACTTTCCCAATGTGTAAATGATTAGGATCCAAAGTTATAGGAAATAGAAAGATGTGGCGAGAGGTCCCAAACCCACCCCCGAGGAACCAAGGCTACTACCCCGTGACACCCGAACGGATGATGTTGAAGTGTTGGTAGAGAAAGTGGCAGAGGTGGCGGCAGCTGCAATTGCGGGTGGTGCCGGCGGAAGGCGATTGTTGTGCTGCTGAACGAAAGGACGCACGGGCACAATAGGAGCTGGATTTTGATGTTGCTGCTGCAGCACAACCACGCTACGCTCACCGTCCTTTAGCATGCTGGCTGTTTTCAAGGAGAAACTACTGATCGGTGTGGAAGTTGCCGATGGATTGTTCGCGTGCTGCAGTATGATATCTGTAAACGATGGAAAATACAAATTACAGCAAAAAGGATTCCAACAACTACGAAAATACAATGGCGGTACTCTTCTAATAAGTAATAACCACTGCTAATAACTGCATCGTTGCATAGCTGGGAGCAATAACAATCCATATTATGAGCAACAACTTTTAATGACAATAAGGTCCGAAGAACGTTATAACACAAATACCACACTACTCTGCATCGACATTCTATTTATCGTATCAAGCAATCCCAAGCGCGCACAGAAGGAAGTGCAGGGAGTACTGCATCAGATGCAACTGGAGAATTAATTGCAGTCTAGAGCAGAATGGATTTTAAGGTCGAACTACACTGGAACCGAAAAGGTGCATGTGACGAATCATTAACACCATATCGATTTCACATTTTTGGAAGCACAGATAATGATGCGGTCTACTAGTTAAATGTAAGTAGATAAAAAGATCTAGGCTAAGCGACTCACGCTGGCCGCCCTGATTGACAACACGAATTGGAGCTGAAGTAGGGGATGCAACAGAGGAAGAATTTAAAGGAGCAACACTAATTTGCTGCGTCTGCTGAGTCGCCGGTATGAGAATATAGGCAGGCTGCTGTGTCTGGCCCGACTGCTGCAAATGCTGACCATTACTTGATGTCAAAATGTGATAGGTTGCTGGGGTTCCCGAACTCTTATGTTCGGTTTGGCCTTGTGCGGAGACGGATTGGTTATGGACATCACTTTTGGTTTGAATTGGTCCGTTCGCTGTTTTGATAAACTACGATCAAAAAATGACCCAATACTCTAGGGCAGTCAAGAAAACATTATGAAAACTATCAAATGTCAACTAAAAAACCCACTTGATGTACACCCAGCCAAAATATTATTGGAACAAAATCCCCAATAAGTGGAGAACCAAGATAAAGCGCATACGAAAAAAATATGCCAGAACAAAGTCCATCCGCGATATCGTGGATAGATTATCCCAAAATGCATATGAAGTGGTCGACATTATAAGACTAAAACTTACGGTGGTTTTTTGCAAATTACTAGGTACACTAGTGCCCGATGCCTGCTGAACAGTCACATACTTGATAGAATGAGTCTGCTGTTGCGGTGCCTTCAAAGAACATACTGATTGTTGATCAGAGGTCTCATCAGAACCTCCTTCTGACGGCCTTTCCTTGCCTTTTTCTTGACTACCTTTAACCTACAAGCAATAAATAGGTTCAGATTAATCGTACGCACATTAACAATGAACCTACCTCTATGATGATTTTGCCATCGTCTTTAAGTTGGCCAGATTGGGAAAGGTGTACAATTAATTCCTGCATCTTTTGTTGACTAATTGAGTTCCCTTGCATACTTTCGGGAAGCTGTATTGTTACATGAGTTGCATCCAACTTCGCCCCTGAATCTTGCAAAGAAGAGAGGTCATCGTTGTTTGCCTCAGCTACTTCATTTCCCTTAGTATCAGATCTATCTGAGTCGGAGAGACCGTACCGAAATGACGCTGACATCACTAATTTCGATGAGTATCTAAAGATAGGTGGTCAAAGACAACTCATTCCTGTGAAAAACAATGTGACTTGTCAAGGTAAAAACATAAAATCCAGTGAAGCATGTCATCAAACTTAGTCACAAAGAAGTGCTGGATTTTTGGAACGCTGAGTACACGATCGTCATTGCAAACGTTCAAAGCGGGAGCGTCTAATCTGCTGAAATAAGCGTTTCGACAAGAACTTGCCCTAATTTTACATGTACCCATCACATTAAAGAAAATTATGGCATAAGTTCAATTCGGTTGGGGACTGGATTTGGAATGATTGCGGACGACGTAAAATGCGACTTGAAGGTACAATAAAGCATTAGCTCCCTCTGACCAAGGTCAATGATCAAATCGCGCCGAACGCCACAGTGTCCTACAGCGCGACCTTAAGATGTGACCTTCGAAAATGTCGATGAAATAAGAGCAAATCCAATAGATTAAGGTAGAAAAATGACGCAATAAACATAGTAACCGCTAATACAGCTGTTGGGGAGCACTAGATTCCCTTACATCGGAGAAAGAGTCCGTATTCGCTACTGATGGCCGCCGAATTTGGATTGCCCTTGACGCAATCCAAAACAAATTTAAACAACTTATTAAATCAATCAAGCCAAATATGTACTGTCATTTTGCTACAAAAAAATATTCTGATTACGCATATCATTTAAAGATCTATAATTTCGTAATTTGAAATTTTATTAAATATTTAAATCTCCGAAAGAGATAAAGGCATGCATATTCACCGCGAAACATTTTATCATACAGAAAAGCTTTCCACTTTCTTTCCTGGTTTGACTACCCATTAATAAAACAATAAAATACTTCTGCACCCAATCCTACATCTTGTATATTTTTATTTCACTTATTATCCTATGGTATCCCTCCCCTTATACCTGATGAATTCCACTTTTTTCTCATCGTCACAAAATCTGTACGCCTTTGTTACACCTCCATTCACAATTCAAAAAAATCTGCAGTTAATTGCTCCCAAGTGTTGCTTTAATTTTCTGCCCCATCCGTAGGTTGTGTGGTATCTATTCATTAGCCCTAGCCCACATTATGGCTTAAATTGATCATATTTGAGGGTCCCCATTTGATTAGGCATAACGTATAAGGATTTCCAGTTATAAGTGCCGAAGACAAACATAATAAATACATGAGAGCGAGTTCTAGCAACTGCTGACAAGAGTACCTCTCCTCGATTTTACGTCTTATAATAGTATGAAGAAAAGTCTATGCATAAAGATGAATGTAAAAATGGACGACATTTTAGTTAACATTGCTTGCCTTATGACAACGCTCACGATAAATTATTAATCCGCTGGACCAAGTGTATGGCCTTATTTTTTATTAACTCTATCACCTAGTTAAGTACAATAAAACGATATTTCTCCGCAACAGGGGGTCTTGTTAATCCATTCAAATGATCACTTGTATTCACTTCATCTTGGCATTCTTCTATTCTGAAGTTAGTGATGATGCAGTTCATGATTCGAGTGATCACACGCGTTGCAAACACAAATCCAGGACAAGCACGTGAACCTAAACGACAAGATAATTTTAATACGTAGCAACCAAAATTCAATAAAAGCAAATCATTTTAGTGTCTTGTGGATTGTAATTGGGGAGGTTAGGCTTAAATATATAAGGATCCCGGTTAATGGGGATCTTGTGATTGACAGACGGCACATCAGCAGCCGCGGTATTCATAAATCGCGAGTAAGATGGAATTAGTTTGTTATTTTAACTGACTTGCATGCCTTTTTTACCTTATTGGAATTTGTTTTTCATTTGACATGCTACAAATACACCAAATACAGGACATGTCATACACTTAACATACCCTAAATTGAATTCATGATATAAAGCCACCTCTTAGATCCGATAAAAAGCCCTAACTCCTTTAAAGATCGGTACAAAACCAAAAAACACTCACCGACAGAGAATGGCATAGCTGATTCGCATAGGTACATCCTGTGTTTTACACTGTTATTTGTCACACATGGGCAGCCATTATTGTTGATCTGTGTCAAACTTCTCAGTTGTGACTGGTGAACAGCGAAGAGGTTAAAGAAGACAACGCTACCCTTAGGGATGAGGTAGCCGCCAACATGGCTGTCGAAGCGAGCATAGTGGGGCAGAGCCATGGGGACCACGCTGGCCAGACGGTGCACCACCTCGAGGTGGGACTCGGTAAAGGTCTCTGTGGACCGTATTTCCAGTCTCTTAGTGGCAAGTGCGTAGCAGCTCCACACAAGTGTGAGGGTCGTTGTGTCCACGCCTGCAGCCATAATCTCAAACGCTAGTCTATTCGTATCTGCCTCTACAACCGTGTTACATTTATATCCTTAGGTGGCTTTCCCAAACCAGCTTGGGACTTCATCTGGCTAGCAACATGGAATGTTGGCTTATCAGCTCATTTGAGAACAAAACGCGCAGATAATGTGTCAACATTTAATGAACAACCGAATTCAAAGTGTGAACTGCCTCCGTGAGAATGTTTAATCAGCATTTTTAACATAGAAGAATATAATGCGAGTTATAAGTTTACCAACTAAATATAAATAACGAGGTTTTACTTATACATGGTGCTTAAAAATATCACTATAGCCAAACCACACGCAGACGTCATTGTTCGCAGGCCTTGGCACAATTTACCGCAATTAATCATTCTCTTTGTCAAATAAGCGCGTTAATAAATATCACACCTCCGCTTTAAGCATTTGTAGGGTGAACATTAAGGAGCTCGAATGTCTATTACACAAGTAATTTTGACGAGGATTCAAATTTGAGGTGTCCATGGAAATTTGCAAAATTCTTAGCAATAACATCGTTTCGCGTAGACGTTGCATAACTCACTCGAAGCAACATGCTCCTCATTATCAAGGAAAGAAGAAATAAGACAATTTCCGGTTTGATTTTGAGACGAATGAAGCTCTGCAACAGCTTGATTGAGAACAGATGTCATTCGCTCATACCGGTTCCAAATGTCGTCTACTCCAAGTATTCTGCGACCCACCTTCGAATGAAGTAACAGTGCAGACCTGTTTAAAATACTTTTTTAGCATAGTACTGTTTGTATTCTCGCATAATTCAATTAAAAAGGTTCCAAGTGTACCCAAGTGGGACTCATTTTGGTGCGCAAACTTTGAACGAGTAAATTTGGAGCCCAACTGTATGTCATACCGCAGTTCAAACTAAGGCTGCAAACTACAATTCCTTCGGTTTATATCCAGCGCACTCTTAAAAATTTTTAACCACGTATTTATATTTGGAACGGTGAAGATTCTTAAAAACTTTGGAAAACATGAGGCAATGTGCAACCCCATTATATGGTGCACACCTTTTTTTGAAGAAATATTATAGCCATTAAGGAACCCAAAACCTATTTACGTTTCGATTATAGAGTACGTCCTAGCTACAATGCATAAAAAGAGAACACAGAGAAAAAGTCAGTAGAAATCCAATTAACTACGCACTTCAAAACAATTCTGCTTTAACATTTGAATTTTTTGACAGGTCCTAAATAATGCAAAATGCTTAAATTTGGGGGGTGTCAAACTGTACCACATATTTCCTGCAGGTCCAGTGCATTCGTAATTAAGCTCACCTTTACATATCTCCTACAAATCGACCTCGTTTAAAACTGGGTTTAAAACCGGAGGTCAATGGGGAAAACGACAGAGCCTACAAAACGCTGCTAAAATCTTCCGATTACATATTTCAAGAAAAGACTACATACACGGGGATTTAGGAACCGGGATTTGTTGCAGAAACATAGGTTTTAAATAGATTAACTTATTGTAGAAGCAAAGTATGTAACTATGTACTAGACATGACTGCGCCAACTTTATTTGGCTTCTAAATCATCCTTAAACTTTGTACATTAATGCTTCCCAAGTGAGGTTACAAAAAATTATCGGATTGAACTTACCAAAAGTTTGGTAGCATCTGTTTGAATTGAAACGGTCCGTTTTTCGAGTTATTTTCCGCCACACACTGGAGCAGTTCGTCAACCGTGTCGTCATCCAATGTGCAATCCGTTCCGAATGCAGCATTCCAGACCACATGCCACACTAAACGTCTTAGAATTTGACTATTAAAAAGAATCGATTTAATAGGAAAATTAAGCCCCAAATATAAACCTTATCATAACTTGCATAACATTCGCTTTTGACTGCATTAACTACTTTCTTTTAACCATGAAATATCAACACATAAAAAAGAAACCAACTTTCCAGGAATTGTCCAAAATGAAACGGGTGGGTTTTGCTTATTGTTTACGTAATTTTGGTGATTCACTAAGTAAAGTGAATGTGACAATTGCACTTTTAGTTCTTTTTAATACGTAGTACTGGTTATAGTGGGGCCAACCATACCTATGGTTTTCAACTTAGAAATATTTAGATGGAACATTCTCATGGAACGATTATTCTGTTGCAGTCATACAAAATATGTGAAGAGTTTTAGGCACTGACCTCATTAACGCAAATGACAATGAGGATTTTGTACACACCTTATTTTTACGGGCTCACCACCTTTTCGCCTTAAGTAGTTAATCAGTTCGAGGCATTCACTGTCAAGTTTGTCGTCAATGAATGACTTATTCTGGCATTCACTTTGCGCATTGGACGTGTTACACAAGGGCGTTTCATTTCCACTTTTGGGATTGACAGTCCTACAGGGTAGAATGCGATGGATTGCTCCAACAAAGATGCGCCTCAAGCAATTGGCATTCTCCCCATCGTAATTGGATATACCTATAGAAATGGTAGTAGTATTAATCTCCAAGACATTTTTATTGAGCTTCCGCAATGCATGACCGTCATTAAAAAGATTTTTATGAGTTGAAACAAGTCTTATTCGCCGCAGTGCAACAGATACATTTTTTGCGACAAATTATTTACTAAAGTTCATTAAATCCTATTCATGAAGAGCGTATGCTGTTAAATACTGTTCTCGGGCGACAAAATCACAAGCAGTTGTTATAACGCAGTGAAATATTGAACAGGATCAGAATGAAGACAAAATCATACCATATCCTTTTGCCAGGAGATGATTCGTTAACATTGTATGTCGGCCAATTAGCATGCGGTGTTTGAAGGCAGCCTCTTTGATGGTGTCTTCGTCGCTAAGAATGACTACTAGCTTCCCGCATATTCTGAAACTGGTCACTGGGCCGTACTTCTTGCACAGCAGTTGGACTTTTTTAAATGCATTCTCTCCTACAATCATTTGCTAGGAGTATTAGTCGAGATAGGAAAAGGCGTTAACATTTCCTTAGCGCAAGTAGAAATTAGAATGTAAAAATAAAATGACCCCAGGCGGACCCTTAAACTGAGAGCAATCCATAGCTTTCATACTAGATCTTAAAGTTTAATGCGTTTTCATTTCATTTCATTTTCATTTCAATTACGTGGATTTAAGATGCCTTCCGTAGTGCTGGTTATAGGACCCAAATAACATTCGTTCATTTGGAATATGCTACTATCAGAATAAAAATGCTACTGCCTCTACGTTAATCTGATTACGTAGTAGACTTAGCCATCTTAAATTTCTGTAGCTTACCTAGGCAATCCGTGTAGCCTAACCACGGCCAACCGGTCGGACCGGGAGGAAGTTGCGACTCAGTATGCCATTCGCGAATCACCCTGTAGGCAAGGTAAGCACCGACGGGAATGAGAATAATCCAGTTGTGCTCTTCCGACAGGATATATTCTTTAATTTCATCAGTCTATAAAATACATTGGAATGGCAGGCTCAATACACTGTGAGAAGACATTTTACCCATCGTTAAATTGATATGTCTATTGAAACAAGCATCCTTACGAAAATCCATATTATAAGACCCACCTCCGATAAGGTAATTTCTTTCTCATGTCACACAATATAAGGCAGCCAGATATTGCCGAATAAATCGAAGTCAACTGCTGGCAATCGACAATATTTTAAGTTTAATGATAGCCTACTACTTTATAACGCTCAGAAAGGGCTCAAGAGTTTAAGCGTGCACGGACTTCCAGTGAATCGGTAGTTATGGGAGATTGCTTCAAAACAGAGGCTCGGTTAATTTCAAAATGGGGTCCCGATCAAGTGGTAATAACGAATTAGGCTTAGCGAAATCTTGTTAGAATGTTTATCCTACACAATGCATTAAAAATAATGAATCTCAAACTATAGTAACGGTTAAATTTCAAGGTTTGATTAATAAAGGCTGCGCTCATGGTAATCATTTCTCCTAAGACGATAAGGTGAATAATTATTTGTCTTTTGAAATGGACAGAATCCAAGGAATGGACCCACTTTGTGTTCTCATTAATGGAAATTATGACATTTTTCTAATGATTATTGGGCCGGCTCCATCCAGCAAATGGGATGCGAAACATTTGGAACAAAACAGGTAGTGCCTTGAAATGTTTTCTATTAGTGAAAGCAGTAGATACAATAAGTAAGTGGTATGGATTCCTACTTTAAACTTTCCCCAAATATTTGGCTGTTAATCCATTCAGTTATTCTTATGGAGATAACACAAGGTGAAAAAAACGGCGCCGCACCATTAATTATGATTAAAGTGAAATGTGGAAGTGCGTGAAAAATAATGCAGCCTTTTGTTTTCCCCCTTGCAACAAGTGACAACACAACAGGGTCCCAGTCTTCGTGGTTACTTTGAACACACTTGTGCATATCAAAGCAAATTTCAGCTTCACTGAATTTGCGATTCGCTTGATGGCCTTCGCCTATCTGTTGCCAGGGTAGAGGGCTCTAGCCTTATTTAACCAATATGTTATACATTTATGTTTTAATTAAGCTTGACGCTAGTAAATAGATGAAGTGTAAGCTTTATGTGGTGCAAATAAAGTAGATAAACAAAAAAGATCCTAGCATGTATATAAAATCGCTACTTGTAGTGATTAGCCAACTAAATTTACATTTCATTTACCATTTAGAAAATAAGGTGTTGACATTTCAACGAGTTTTTATTATAAAAGTTTAAATATAATGTTACAGGCATGAGCATAAATTTAAATTGGGCTTCATAACGGAGTATATTGTGTAAATTAGGTTAATCCGATCGTTTAAACCAAATTGCGTATTATTGAAGATGCTCGCCTTTTAAGATGTGGGAAAAGTAATGATTAAAATTACAAGATGGTTCATTCAATATGCTTTGTGCTCTAAAGCCATTTGGGTTATAAATCAGTTTATTCAAAAGAAGTGTGGGCTAATAATGAAGAATCTGCATAAACATACTCCAGTATTAGATTAGGTGGAATTTGTGTAAAGAAATGGCTGCAAAAGAAATGCTAAATCTCACCACTTTGAAGAACCCCATGCTAGTTGCCAAACCACCGAGAAGTCAAGTGTACTAAACATCTACAGACGCCGTGATGCCCTGCAGTTGACAGGATTGCGTCACAGTGCATCCATACATAATTGAGCGCTTTACAATACTAGTGGATGCGTGCGCCAACGGCTTAGAAATGTGCATGCATCACGTGTTAATACACCTCGTGCCTTTCAATAGGCGATAATACTACCCTTCAAGGGAAAGTATGGCCTAAAAACGCAGTACAGATGAACCAGAACCCTTTAGCGCCATAAGGGAATCACCTGAGCTGTTCCTATCATTGATAATGTCAATTTTTTTAGGTAAGTTATAATCCGATATTAAATTTATGCGCAGTTACTTAACATAAAGTGATCATATGGAACTTGCTAAAATACGATAAGTTTGCCGATGTGCCTCCTTGCTTTTTGTAGGCCTTCTAATGGCTAGTTATCTCAATAAGTAGTATTCAAAGCAAGCCCAATACCAAAGGTACTGCGCTACACTTTTTGTCCAACTCTTAGGCCACTTAGGGGTCTACCATTGTGCCTCCACCGAGCGCCCTGGCCTCCGAACCATGCCAGTAGTCCTACGTTCAACTGTACGTCAAAAACACATTGTCCCCAAGTATTGTCTTTTTTGTCTTCAGAGAAATCTCGGAACGCTACACTGCTTCTTTCTTCTATGAGTCCCTACCTGTAAGTGCAGTCCAGCTACAAAATCGAAGAAATGTCCTTGTAGAGCTTTTCATGCTTGTGAAAACACGAAATCGCGACAAGAATTGGGACAGTAATATCGAGAAGTTTTCGCGTATACTATTCCCTACATGGAAACGCAGACAACGGCGGCAGGCGTCGCTGCCAGTACTGAAGCTTCAACTTGCATACATATAGATGGGCACAACTCACCCTTCTATCTAACTTTACCGAGATTTATTGGAGCTGGTCAAGCCTGGGGTTGGCGAAGTGAAACGATACCAAATCCCTTCCCTACAGTAACCAATACAAAGTATAGCTTATTTATGCAGTATAACGTCCACAACATCGAACAAGTTTGAAGCATTAATGCTGCCATTTCTTTGAAGATTTGATGGGACTCTTCACATCCTTATCGAAAAAGAATTTAAATAGGCAATGATCTGATAGTGACATTTTCGCAATTTTAAGGCGCAGTAACTGCGATGGTCTTGGTTAAAATCACAATTTTTCCCACGCATTTAAGAACATCGAAACGTCGGCAGCATATGCACGTAGACTTCCGATACACACATCGAGAATTCAACCATGTCCGTAAACCACAACGTAACTTCCGATTTCATTAATGCTTGGCAATGATTTCGCAGTCAATGTCCCAAAAGCTAAAATTTTGCCGTCAAGTTATAATGGGTCACTTACGAGTAATTTACAGCGACCTAACTCAAAATTGATGAAAAGTAGATGCACGCAGGCTGTAGACCTAACAGCCAATAGCTGTAGCAATGCTTCCTATTGGCGGACCATTAAAAGCCTAAAATGACCTACATAAAAACACTAATTTGGGTTTATAAATGGAACTCATGAAGTTCGCAAAATGGCAAATGGCAAGAATGATTGAATTCCAATCAAGTTTATTTATCCATAAAATAAATGGTAAACTGGCTTTTGCGCAATTTTACACGTAGATATTCTCCGTTAGCATTAGTTTCTATTCAAGTTGAAAATATGAACGAAATTAATCTCAGAATAAAAGAACTTCACAATTCGGAGTTCTAGTTCATTCATATACTAAAATTATTGTGATACTACGGTCGAGTAATCTTAGCAAGATAATACGTTTTCACACGTGCTTAAGCCTGAAAGCCAATTTCTTGCATAAAGTGAGTGATTTCTTAATAACTGACATTTGGCGCAACAAACTACAATGCTTTAACTTAAGGGTCACCAGTGCACCTCAATGTCTAACTCGGGCTCTGCACCTTCACTTTAGCGTAGGTATAGACGCTTTGTGTTCCCGTATACATTGGGCCAAAATGTACGAATAAACATAGTCGACCATTCGGCCCAATCGCCATGTCACACTCGTTTACTTAAATACGGTGGATCGGAATCATAGGTGAGGTGAAGTGTGTCTCTGCCTTGCAGTATGCTGAATTGGATCAAAGTGATAGCCATCTTTTTAGTTCTTCATTTTGTATATTGTGCTGGTAGTACGTTTCGAAGGTGAGTTCATGCGTATTTCGATTGTTGATGAGACTACACTACATTAGCGTATATCTTTTAGCATTCTTTGTAGAGGCATTAGGATGAGCCACCTCATTTAATTTCCATCTATAGTGTAATAACTGAATTTTTTAAAGGTGAAAATTTGAGAAATTTGAAGGGCATTCATCGAACACTGTAGTTAAATGGTTATTAAAATTGAAGCTACCCAATATGAAGATGACTGGTGCTCCATTAAGCGCACAAATTTAATTTTCTACTAGACTTCACGAATCGTGCTATAAAAATCAAGTAATGAATATGTGTACGGTAAGGTTAACCATGGCAAGTTGTGTGTGCGTGTATGCGCGAGTTCTGGAGTACAAATTCAGATACCATACAGTGTATACTTATTAAAACAACCTGTTTTTCTTCCACTATATTCCATTTAATGCAATCCAAGCCATTTGTGAATCCCATATGAATGCTCCAACTTTGCAACTTTATTAAAAGTACCATGAAAGCCTGAACTGAAACAACGAAAACTGATGTTCATATACATTTGGAGGCCCTAGAAATCGAAGGAGACAAGTCGTCTATATGCAGCTTCCTAACACTTATTTGTACAACTTGGGATTCCTAATTGCAATTTTCAATAGGGTAAAGTATAATATCTCTCTAAGAAAATTTGTTCAAAAATTATGACCCCCTGCAAATACGGGAGATCAAACGTACTTATTGTCAAATAGGCTGTCATGCATTCTGAATGCACAACTTTGTTTGTAGGCACCGTATCTATCGTCTCCGTATTCCCAGAGATGTCGCAAAATCTTTCATGGAGGCCCTGGAGGCAGGGGAAGACAATACACAATATGACATCCTCCAGTCACATCGATTGCGTGGCGACTACTTAGATATCATGGTAGGACCATCCGCCCTCAAAGAATTCAAAAAGCTTATCCAAGCTCACAAAGTTTCCGCCCAAATTATTGACAACGACGTAGAAAGGTAAACATACGGTGCCAGATTTATTAATCTCTCAAGGAAAAATAACTAATTAAGAATGCAGAAAATTCTATAGTGTCAATCTACTCAGAAGTGTTAAACTTTAATACACTCTTAAAGAGGGTAGTAAAGGCTTAAATACAAAAAACATGACTTTCAAAACCGGCTGATAAAAGACTTATAAAACGGCAGCTTATTCACTTTTTCGCCACCATAAACCAGCGTCATGAACGTCTGACCTTATTACAATTAATTTTTACAGAACTTAGTTTTTATGCTTATGATATTTACTAATACTATATCCACCATTTAGGTCCATCAAACGCTCGAAGCGGGCCAACATGAGAGCGATGTCGAGAATTCGGTCACGCAGATCAAGTGGACGTCTTATGTCACATGATGCTTACTTTCCGTTCACTGTGGTAAGTAAACCGTGCACATTTTAGACGCACAAACAAGAATACACTTCGTTGCATTGAGCAAATAGAGCAGTAGGAAAGAAGAACGTCAAGACTGTTACTCTGTCTTGCACTTTTAAAGTAAATAACTTTATGCAGCATGAATTATTCGACTGTCGTCTTCATTGATACGAGCTGATGGTATTGCACAGGCATGGCTTAAATCTTACCATTCTACTAGATGATTGATCTTGTCAATCAAAAAAGGGACAATCTTCGTCCTTTTCACCTTGAGCTATATCAAAGTGGAAATCCATAATTAGCAGAGAAACCAACAAAAGTTTTGGCATCGCAAAAAAATTTAAATAAAGTTTCACACCCTTTTAGACCTAAATGTGCACCTGTCAATAACAGAGTAGCCTGATATTCTCTATTTGGGAAGCTAAACGTATCAAGCGGCCTACCGAAAGTCCGCTAATACTCCAATCGCCAATTGTTATTCAGTAAAGCTAAATAATGTACTAGTAATATACAAATTCGATTGCAAACGCGCATTGTATGGCCACCTTAATCGAAAGTGAATTAAACGAGAATAAGGATTACCTTACCTAGAATAAATTTCCACCAAGACAATAACAAGAGTTACAGTTGTACTGGGTTAAAAGTTCTTAATTAGCTAATTTAAAACGATTTCACCCAAACTTTATGAGATACTAAAAGGTAATGAGGTATGAGGGTCAATTTGGAAGTGCAACACTGATTTGAATGTTTCCAGATGGAGAATAATCTACGTGAAATTGCTGAAAAGGTTCAAATCGCAACTCTTGAGGAACTTGGAAAGACCATAGAGGGGAGATCCATATGGCTTTTGAAGGTGAGGTCGATAAATTCGTGCTTGATTTTGTGAATCTTTACTTACCTCGCTATGGCTAAGTGACGCGTCGGAATAAACGCCTCAGCTGATGCGTAAGCAATGTGTACGGAGTAGTAATTTTCATCGAGTTTCTTACAGAAATTATGCAAACGTTAATTTAAGTTACCACAATTCTACTTACTTATTAAATACAATATTTTCCTAAAAGTGCGGCAAGAATTTGGCTCAATGAATCGTGACTAAATTTACTGCAATCAAATATACATCGAGCAAAGAAACCAGCTTCATGTAAATCGCCATTTACATTAATGGTCCGCACTTTGAGTTTGTTCTATAGATGTAAGGTAGCCTGTATTTATTAGAGATAGTATCGCGAAATATCAGTCATAGCACCATTCTTCATGATTTGTGCTAGCACAGCTTGGCAATAATCTTGTAGCTTTTCCATAAGTCAAATTTGTACCCATCATTAAGAAACGCAAAAACAAATCAGTGCTCATGAAAGGAACGTTGTGTTAATATCTGAGCATTTCTTCACAACGACTTACGTTTGTCAACAATGAACCTAATTTTTGTTGCCTAACTATAGCCGATTTTATTTTTTAAAGATATCGACCAACAGGTCGCTCCCTATTATTTGGATTGATGCCGGAATCCACGCTCGCGAGTGGATTGCTCCCGCCTCGGCCCTCTACATCATCGACAGGGTAGGAAGCTCCTAAAGCCTTTGATGCGCCGCTTTATTCTTGCCGATGGTTGGCTATAGATGCACAGTACTGATTGCTCGTTAATATAAGGATGGACACTAAACATATTACTAAACCGACAAAAGTAACTCATGCATTTTGTGTAACATAAGAACGCATTTTGCTTTCTTGAAGTCAATTTCAGTAAAAAGTCCATGGCCAAGTTAAGTAGTTACTGGGAGTAAACCGTAAAACAATAATGCCTATTGTTATTTTTGTGGATTTCGCTAAAGTCAAGTCTTGCAAAATCCAGTTTTTCAATAATTTCACATTTCTTAACGTTTTCGGTTCACGCTGCCTAGCTCCTTTCGTGGAAGGGATCCAAAGTGCTTCAAAAATATCAGTTCTATGTTGCACCTGAAATAAACCCCGACGGTTACGCATTCAGTTTCACGCGAGTAAGTTGCATGCCGTTGGTGCGTATACTATTTAGTTAAATAAGTTTATCATTTGTACATTGAATTAAAGCGAATAGTAGGTTACATTTGAGTACAAAGTGCACTGGTATCCTAGGGCTTTAAGACAAGGTAAAACAACTATAATCATCGTATTCATTCCAAAAAATAATATTTAGAGTCGTTACTGGCGGAAGAATCGTAACAAAACTGCACATAGTGACTGCTACGGCGTTGACCTAAATCGAAACTTCCCATTCAAGTGGGGTAAGTCCAGGCTTTATCAAGAGTAACTAGATCGGCTTTGACACTCCGATTTTTACAGGTTATTACCGTGCCTATCTTCAATGAAATAATCGAGCTCTACTGCACCAATTATTTGAAATGAATACTACTATCACTTCCTATTTCTTTTCACGCATTCTTACGCAACTCAGAAAAGCCCATCCTTTTATAATTCTTGAAACAGTATAAGGAGACATGGGGCAAATTCAAAATCAGATCCCCTTTCAAGAAAAACATTGATGACTTCATCAAAGGTACTGCTGAGATGTAGATATTCGCTATCCGATTTATGCAGTGCTAAAGCTAAAATTTTCCCAACATTGTAGGAAATTATTGCGTTTTCCATTTTATTCAAACATACACCGACAGGATCTATAAGGAATAGCGGCTTTCAAATATGATGCATACACCCTTCGAATTAAAGCGAGAATCAGACAAAGTTGGGTGACTGCACTTGTCCTCCTTGCCCCATACATTTTTAAGCTTTATGCATGAAAGAACTAATTCTATCATTTCGATTAACAACTGATTGTTACTTAGAGTAAAAACCAGTTCGTTGTGTTAAACAGTAAATATGCAGCGCAAAAACAAGATAAGTTTACTTGACTGATTTTGTTCCGGAAATCTAAGTGGATAAGCATATTTACTATTTCGACTAATTTGAGTAATTTTACTGATGTAAAACATCAACTTAATCGCTCTTTTATTTACTTTACAAATACTCGAATCCTAAGGTATAGATATGTGATGCTTCCTTTTGAGAGATCATTACCGTGTAACTGCTTGCATTACCTAGGCTTCAGTGGATCTTCATCAAATCCGTGTGGTGAAATCTTCAGAGGCCTTAGTGCAGCCGATCAAGCAGAGACACAAAGTATAGTAAAAAAGTTAACATCAATTGCGAACCAAACAAAGCTGTTCATTACGCTCCACTCATACGGACAGTTGATCTTGACGCCCTATGGATTTCAGAGAGGTTTGCGCCCAGCTAACTACGATGAACTGGTAAGAACAAATTACTTCAATTTCGAAATAAGCATTGTATGGATAATTCGTGCTTTTGTAACCTCAGATCAGCATGACCTAAAAATCCAATAAAGATCAGTTAACAATCCACCCAGAGAGGCGAACAATAAAGTGAAAAACAGAAAATTCACCGCAGTTACTAGTGAATGCATTATGCTGTGACTAAAAATGAAACATTCATTAATTGGGCGTAGATACATAAGACTTTTATCCAAACTTTGATACTAAGGGAAACTTAATGACCTGGAAGAAACGTCAGTTGTTCACATTGTTTTAGAGCTTTGGATCAGTTACCGTTTTTTTTTTTCTTATTGGAAGAACCTAACTAGATCGGTTTCCATTGATACAGAGTACTCAATCGTACTTCGACTCTGTTACGCATTAGATATCGTTTTCAGCCTTCACAGTGGCACTCCAAGGATTAAAGTTGGAGATAACTAAAATTTTCTTTAGACCATTGCATAACATTTGCCAAATAGGAATTTGCATCTTAAACTGTCCCTACTCAGAGACAGAGCAATACGCAATCCCTTTTCTTTTGTGTAATTTCAAATAATTTTAAAAATAACAAATTCAATTCACTGGGAAATTGCAGCTGCGACTGACTCTAAAGACTATATACCGGATTTGGAAGCAACACGGAGACGTATATTCAACTGGAAGCGCTGCTGACCTCCTGTGTAAGTCCCAAAAATCTTGGCCTCTTGGTTATAATTAGCTTAAGGCAGAACCAAATCGGATCCTTCACCATGCGCTTACAAATTCCAAAAAAGGGCACCCTCGAAGAGAGAAACATTACGAATCTTGGATTGCCATGATCGCGTTGATTTCCTGACCTAATGCGATGTGGTTCGGTATTTATGGAAACGACAGTGCCAATTTGACTTGTGAAAGTGTAATAACACCACTTTTTCTCAGAAAAACAGGTTCCTCAAAGACCAGTCTTGACATTACTTTAGATGCTGCTGCGGGTGGCTCAGATGACTTCGCATGTGGATCTTTGAAGATTCCATACACCTACACGTTTGAATTACCAGACCTTGGGAGCTACAACTTCTTGTTACCACCGGCATATATTACACTGGTTGGTGAAGAAATGTGGACCGCTTTGGAAACCTTCGTCGAACACATGAAGTAGCGCAAGAAATGTGGTAAAGGCTCACTGATAGGAATACTTATGCGGCATGCAAAAGCCAAATTAGGCACTTCGATTGTCCCCAATTCTTGTGTTTCATATAAAATAAAATGTGCAAAGTAAGTCCGCTCGCTTATCTGGGAAATATTTTCTTTTTGAAATACAGTAGAGCAGATGACGCACGACTTGACATAGCTGAAAAATCGAGTTAACCGTTTATCGAAGGTCCAGCGTGGTGAAAGCACTTAGAGGGTCAATTAAAGAGCTACCAAAGAAAGTCTTGTCTTAAAAAGGCTTATCTCTAGGCATTTATGGGGTGGTTTGTCAGTAAAATAGTGAAATAGTAGTGAAATAAAATAGTGTGACCCATTTCCACCTGTCTTGAAACTCTTCTACCATGATTTTAAACCCGACGGAGGCACGTCTGCTCCCCTAACCGATGTGACCAGGACACACCCCAGATTCTGTCAAGTATTACGGTCAAGATAGATGAAGGTCCGTCCGAACAAAACCCACTGGTATCCGAAATAGCAGTTTAGTTGCCCCAATAAGCAAACCCCAAAGACCCCAAGATTACCATTATATAAGATCGAGCAACATTGCTAACCACCACCAGCGTAGTCAGTGCCAAACACACGGATAAGAAGATCAGTCAAGGTACCTTGTACCTAGATCCGTTATAAAATAAACCATGCATTGTTGAGGACCGATCGTATTTAACAGCACCAGCTACGGCTGAAGGGCTCATTATGACACGCCAAAATGCATATGTGGGAATGATTATCTAGAGCTGCAATTATGTTACATGTAAATAGTAAAAGCAAAACCTTTCTTTATAGGTTCAAAATATGGTGGCAATTTATGGCATAAGTAATAAAAGGTAAAAACACTTCACAATGTCCAGAACAAATAGGAACTGACGGAAAACCCCAATTTTCCCTCTAAAATGTGATTAGAAAAGTGTACTCCGATGGTTCAATTAAAGGCCAATTGCATCAAAAGCTCTTGGAGAAATTGCAGTGGCCTGTAAATTCGAATCCCCATTAGATAAAAAGGAACAACATTGAAATAGGAAAAGTCATAAATACAGGTAAATACAAAAGTTGATACGTCACGCAGACGAAATCATTGCAATGGAGGTAAATTTGAGCGTTATAAATGGTCTAACTGATTAGATAGTTGTAGTAGCTGGGGACACGAAGAATGCAGAATTTATGCTCCGAGGAGGGGAATTTGCACCGTAAAGCAAGCGGCCACCAGCAGCGAAAAATGCATATGCGTTGAAGCCAAAGGCAGCTATCATGGTTGTCACGCAGACGAGCTCAGGTGCTGGGTGCGACCAATCGTTCAAGAGAGTCTGTTAATAAAACAGAAATTGCTAGTGTCTCATTAGCAACAAGAGCGGCGATGAAATAGTTCATTCGGGACTAAGCTACACCGATATCCACCTTCAACTACACTACGTGGAGGACGAAAACACTAATATTAGATGGCCCGAAGCGTTGTGTTGTAATTAGCATATTTTGCTGCAATGATTGTTGCAACTTACGGGGGCCTAAGGCATGTGCGCCATTGTTTATATGCATTATAAAGCGGAGATAGGGGCCAGCCTGTCAGCACCAGACACTCTATTGCGCTTTCTACTACTTTTCTGCTATTATTAATCCTCACAAAGTGTCAAATGAACCTAATGTGATTCAAGCTCGTCACATTTATAGAACAAATTCAACTCGGTTCTCAAGTTGGAGAAGCTTCTTGCAACACATTGTGGGTAACATTAGCAGATGACGGTGCGCTACGTTTTGGAAAACCGTTATTTTCAATAATGAAAAAGTTGAGATGCTATCGCTTAGAACAGATGAACATTAACGTATCAAGCACCCTCAGTCACTTTTAATGGGCGTAATGAAATACTTTATACCTACACCAGTTAGGAAAGTCGTGGAAGCTAATAAACAAATGGGATCTGCATGCTATGCATTAAAAGATAGCATTGGGTTCCAAAGACTGACAACTTGTTCGCAACCTCTTCGTATAAGGAGGCGTCGTGCATTTGATATGGCTTCCTGACTGACGTGGGATGGCAATTGATATTTTTATTTCAACATTCGTTAAGTGAACAAACATGCTAACAGTCATCTCCAAATAATTCACCATTTCACATTTCTGAGGCCCTACCTTATTCCCAGGAGAATATGACGGACTATAGATAGAGTTGTTCACCATGAATCCCTTGCTGGAACTCAAACAGTAATTACGTCTGATATCTATCTACTCCACACGACTCGAAGGAGCACAAGAAAAGCGTCGTCTTATTCTCATAGGTCAACGCAAGATCCCATATCGCTTAAAAGCTTACTCCTGAGAAAATATCATACCACACTTTAGGATGGGAAGGTGGCACTACCTATCCTCATTCGCATCCTCCACACTCCATTGATACTCCCCCTAGTGATTGGCATCCTTCCTTGGCATTAGACAATTACATGCGAAAGAGGTGGAAGGTAAAGTGAGGTAGAAAATGAGGAGGCTGGTTCTCTAAGCTAGGCCTTTTGAGACGCAAGTTGGATTCATAGCAGAACATTAAAGATCGTGATGATGATTATCCTAACGAGTAGAATATTTTAGGACACTTTTTGTAGTTATGCCATTTTCATTGATAAAAACTGAATTTAATCGGTTCCCATTCAAATGCTAAATATCAACAATTTAATTGAATCAAGGTATTTACAAATTCGCAAGATTCACTAAAACTTATGCCAGTTTTTAGCATTTGCCAAAATTAAATATTTGGTCATGGTATACGAAAACCACTGTCTAGATCTGTTTTAACATTCCGAGGACGGAGATAAGCTTACCAGTGCTGAAAGGGCCACGTGGGTGGCACACACTACTACGATGTCGATGTAGAGACGGAGATGGAAGGCTCGAAAGAGAATAATGGACCAGGAAATCTGGAGTAGACCCATGAAAAAGGAAGTTAAACCTGTAAAAAAAGAGCATATTTCAATCCAGACTACGTCAATATCAGAACTGCAGTAGTGGTGCATCGTATTGAAATATCATAGTCTCTTAAAGCAAGCGACATGAATTAGTTGCATGCTAGGATTAAAAAAAGGTTTGAAAGCACAAATAAAATTGGCCATTTACTAACATTATTCTTTAGTAGACACTGTCTTCTTTCCAAAAGACAGAGGTAATTTGCGACACGGAACTGGTTTGCGACAATGACTATTTACGCAATAAAGCGTTTTATAAGAGAATTTCTAGCAATAAATGCATAAATGGAGGCCAAACACAAAACCTGAAGCATACTAAAATTTATTTAATGCCAAAGTCTTCCCAGGGAACCTTAAAGACCGTTGAATCGAGCGCCGGTTGATGAAATCGGAAAAGCATTTAAAACAACTGAAAGAGTATGTCAATGCGTACCCACCGGCAAAAATAAAGAAATAACCAGGGTTAGATCCCTCCAATAGCGTTCCTGGTCCAATCACACCATCGAAGATGTAAACATACTCGATAATACCAGCCATCAAGGCAAAACTTAGTCCTGAAGTGAAAGCCAAGGTCCGATGATCAAATATTGAGCCATGCTTGGCGCTACCATTAGCAGACCTCACGGCGACATCTAGTTCACGGGGGTGATTTGAATGAATAGCCACTTGAGCCTCTGCCTCTACCATCTTCTGAAGACTGTATTCGGCTTTTCTGAATATTAATATGGACAAAGCAGGCCAGAACAGCAATATAAAAGTATAACCAACACTTCCAGTTTAAATGGGAGCCATGTTATGACAGACGTAATTCAAGTGACAGCAATTATACATTCTTAAGCCATTGACCTGTCCAATAGTATTGAATCAGAGCACTTGGAGGAAACCATAAGACAAATGATAAATGTGGACTTGAAATAGTAACTTACGATACGAGAAAATAAAATAGGAACCGCATAACTTCTTGAAAGAGACAGACATTGACCAAACCGAATGCCAGCTGATCTCGAAGAGGAACCACAGCGTACCAAATCACCGATGCAGCCAATAATCCAATCAGCCAAAAGAAAGCACTATAGACGCAGAGTAATAGAAACGGACAGAAGTGAAAACGACGATTAAAACTCCGATCGTCTAAAGAATGTTTTGAAAGAAAACATTTAAAACGCTTGAGGGAGATAAATATTTGATCATGATCATCCGAAGCATACTTGTAGGTGACTACATTATTTTGTAAACCTAGATGAGAAACCAAAAGCGACCGAATTTCTGACAAGAAATGGAACCAAATCAACCCCATGTTTTACGACAACTGAGCTCCAGGAAGATAAGTATAAGACCTGATCGCGCTTTACATATTTCACTAGTTCTTAAGGTGATTATGTTTTCTTTACCTTTGATAAATATAATACGACAGTATAGGAAGCCCTCGGAAGTACTGCAGAATTGGTCCTCCGTGTGTGTAGCCGATCTGATTTTAGTACAAGTACAATTAGTGAACGTAGAAAACTAAAACACTAAAGGAGTAGGTTTTCTACACCCAAATATAAGGAGAGTGGACGAAGATAACGCCAAAAAGGAGACATTTACCGAATTAGACGTACCTTAGAGTGAAGAAGATGACTTGAAGGGGATCACGAGCAACGACGAGACAAAAGAGCGTCCAGATCGGACCAAAGCCAATCAACCCGCATCCAACGGCACCCATTAACGTCATTTCTCATTCTTAAAAAGGAGAGGAGAGACGGCATGCTTTAAGCAGCAAGGTGAAACGTTCAAAGTGCTCATATTTTAACACACAAGACCCGATGAGGACATCAGATCTCAAAAAAATAATGAATTATAATACCAAATAAAACAAGAAAGTATTTCAACAAAAATTTAAATTATGAATAAGGCAAAAAGCGGGTTTAAAGGACCGCCTTATATGATGCAAACAATAAAAACGACTAAAAAAGAAGAAAAGCTGAAATTCAGTAGCTTTATTTAAAATAAAAAACCAAACCGGAGTTAACTATACCTGAGACCAGAGAGAAATAACAGTGAATAAAATAAAATCAAAGATACTAGACGGTGGGAAAGTCAGAGAAGAGAGGATAGGGTAGAGGTATGCGAACACCGAAGCCACCATCTGGAGTAGTGCCGGCTAGGGGTGAGAATGAGAAGCTGACGTCGTGGTAATGGTGCTTCGGTCTTCAATAAATGGCCTCTTTCAGTGAACGGACAGGCGAGAGGCAGGCGGAACGTACCGAATCCGGCTCCTGGCACCAATAGTCGCACGTCTCTCGTGAAAATGTCTGAAAGAATGGCCGCAACTCGAGGCTAGGCATGGCGATCTAGCTGAAGCGCATACTTCTCCGTTGGACCCAATGGCTAGGGAAGGCAAACAGCCACTTTCAATTTGTTTTACAACTAGAATCAGATACGACCTACAATTAATGTTATAATCTTATAAATTAAGATTAAAGAAAACCTATGCTACCTTTGCCTGACACATCAGTAAAATATACTTGCTTAATCGAAAAATATTTACACAATCAATTCACTGTGTGCAAATAGTGATTTTTTCTAACCTTTACACAGGCAGCATTTTCATTTGACAGAATATTGTAAAGTAAAGCCGATAACAATTGCTCTAAACGATAGTTTAAAGCGGTTTTTTAACGGAGATGATGGTGACGATGATGAGCCATTTCGCAAGGAAGTAATGAGTGGAACCCTTATTTGCGTAGACGCCCCACTAAGCAAACATCATCCTTAACACCCAATTATCAGCAGATTCGGAAACATTGGCCGAAGGTGTGCAGTTTAACTACAAAGATGACTGAAATGTGATGCAAGAGTGCATTTGTGTAGTTTTTCGCTTGACAGAAGAGCTAAAGCCTTCAAACTGGTTCCTAATACTTAGTAGTTAGGTAGTTTACAAAAATTTTTTAGAGTAATGGCCCATTAGCGTTCAAATAAGGTAGGTTATGGAGCGCATGACCGGGAAATGTAACACACCGTTAGAAGGTCGACGGAGAAGTAAGGTATCAATGCGCCGACAGCGACAAATTTCTTGCTCTTGGTTTCATGGGTACGATAGAATGGTGCGTCACCATCGGAAAAAATCCGCACATTGACGCGCGAGACTGTGCCAATGTATCAGCGAAGAAAGCGCGTTTTGCCTATTTAGATGGTAGGAGGCCACGAAATAAGTCGATACAGTCATCACACCAACGATGTGAAGAAATGCATGTTTTCATATTTTTGAAACAAAATTTATCCACTTAACTTAAATTAGTTTTGAAGAAGTGGGCTTGACAAGTGAACAACATACCCCACCGAGATATGATTTCTCTTCCATAAAGGGCCAACAAAATACCAATGACAATGGGAAACGCACCACCAGCAACATCAATAATAGCGCTTATGGGATAGGCGAATTCCCTACGCTCTCACAATATGCCAGATTCAATGAGATAATTGATGCCATGCTAAGGCCGGAGGTAGTAATCGATACCTTGAACAGCCTCTGAAAAAGCGTATTATGGTTATGCGAAAGTGCCAGGCTGCACATAGCCTAAAATACACGTCAAAATAAGCCGCTTATTAGCCTCGTGAAAAACGTTCGGGGCAAAACTAAGACGGTCAAGGCATTTTAATGGGTAGGGACCTAAAAATATATCTACGCTCTTACAAAGATGTAAGAGCCTTCGGCGATCAAAAGGACTTTTAAATCCAACAAAGTAGAAAGTTTTCCAGGACAAAGCAAACAATTAAAAATAAAGTCTTTAAACACATAAAGAGCACTCCAACCTTATATTCGGATTGAGGATTCCGTGAACTGATGCTCCGCAAACTTTAAGAATAAGTCCACAGGTTGTGGTTGTATCAAAGGCAGCCCTTTTAAGAACTTAAATTCCTTTGAGCATCAATCTTAACGCAGTGTTGTAAAACCAATGTAGATCTTTAAAAATAATCAGCAATGAAAACGGGAAAGTCACCTAGGCAAACCGCCCCAAGTATTAACAACAGCAAACTGAGCGCCAGGCCAAATAAAAAGTAAAAGATTGTTACATGATTCAGTGCCTGTCCTCATAAAAAGAAGTAAGGTGTAATGCCTGTTGCCAAAAACAAAAAATTTAGTATTATTGCTCATTTTGAAAATTCCTAATCTTTAACGATAGGTAAAATACCTGCAAAAAAACGCTAGTACAAAATAATATATAACTCTTCAAATAAAGCAGAATGTTACTGTAGTGCTCCGA